CCTGAGACGAGTCAGAGGCTAATCTTGCGCAGTTTCCCCCATCCAGTGACACTGACATGGCTATCCCTGACGAGAACCTTTATCCTACCGCAACAGGAAACGCTGCTGAAACAGTAGCAGAACACCAAGCCAAGCAGGATTTGGTGTTCTACTCTGGGTGGGTGAGTTTCTCCACTCCATCATACCATGACACGTTGAGCGCTCACATGCAAATGCGCATCTCATCCAGTTCTGTCCTTTCAACCAGCGTGTCTGGATTTCGTTAGAGGAAAAGGGCATTCCATACCAATACAAGGAAGTCAACCCTTACAGAAAGGAGAAGCATTTCCTTGGTACGTGGTCGACACCTATGCCTAACGTCACGCGCTCATCACACGAGCACAGACATCAACCCCAAGGGCCTCGTCCCCGCAATCGAGTACCAGGGCAAGGCTCTTTACGAGTCGCTCATCCTGTGCGAGTTCCTTGAGGAGGCTTACCCTAACCATAAGCCTCATCTCCTCCCCGCCGATCCATTTGAGCGTGCACACACACGCCTGTGGATTGACCACACGTCGAAGACGATCATTCCAGTTTGGTATCGTCTTCTCCAAGCACAGAGCATAGAACAACAAGACGCTGCGCGGCAGGAACTCTATGATGCGCAGAGAAAGCTCGCGCAGCAGGTCAAGGGCCCGTACTTTACTGGAAAAGAGTTCGGTTTGATCGATGTCGTTATTGCGCCATGGGTAGCCCGGGAGTATATTCTTGCTGAACACCGGGGGTATGACAGAGCGCAAGTAGGCGATGGTTGGAGTGAGTATGCGGAACGCTTGGCTACGCGCGAGAGCGTCAGCAAAACCACGAGCGTAAGCGTTCCGAGCTCAAAGTTGTTTTCCTTGCTCATGTATTGGATTTTTGACGTAGGACGAAGACAAGCTTCAGGTTATCTATGATCGGTATCTTCGCGACGAAGCTCAAAGCGAGGTTGCAAAGGCTCTCAGGGCTGGCAGGGCTTTACCTTAGTACGAAACAAGTTGACTGGCTAATATTTATCTAGCAACTAAACATACAAGAAATCTGTTATGCATAAATCCTGAGACTTCATATTGCACGATCTAAGTATCAACATCATAATGATGGATGTCGATGCGGTCTGTCGAATCCACCATTGTATCAACACGAGCTTGTCTTGCGGAAATGGTATCCTATCGGACACGAGGACAAGAAACGTACTGCTGCTGACAACTAACGTGTACTTATCTTTCAACTCATCTACCTTATATACATGGGTATCCAAGACCGAACTGATTAATTGTATCCTCAGAGAAATCTTGCAAGCAAAGTAATTCAATATTCAATCTTATCGTACAATATCCAAACCACCTTCAATAGCCGAATGATACCATACTGTTGCATAATTAGCATAATTATAATGTAAGGTTAAACATCTTAATGTTGCCCAATGAATCAGCTCACTATTAGCAGCGTGCGACTCCCAGGGATATTAAACTCCAGCCTTGTCGGAGCTGTTGGCGAGTCCTTGCCAGAGTCTGGGCAACGGCAGCAATTATTCCATTTCTTTGAGGCTCTACTAGCACGTTCGAACAGATTCCTGAGCGCAGATGAACAGGAACGGTTACCAGACGATAACGCCGTTGAGGCGCTTGACAAGAGAGTTCGTTGATTCTGTCATGTAGATCATTGAGCGAGGTGAGTTCAACGGAGGCGAATAGGACTCACTAGTTGGTTTGTGATCCATTCCAGATAAGCTTTGAGCTGTCGCAGGTTGATAAGGACAGTCTCCAAGCCCGCAACAAAGGCCTCTAGGCTTTCTTCTTCAACAACTCTGGGATTTAATCTTTGACCGGTAAAAATGCCCCATATCGAGCGTCTTGAAGCACCTGCTTGGCGGCGTTGCATGTTCGTCAGAACTTCTGGAAGATTGCGTGATAACTCGTGATGGAGAGCTCCCATGTCTAGTATAATGCTCTCCGTTTTTGATAAAATGGAGGAGTATTCGAGAAGCAGATTAGAAGATGCCAGTAGGTACACGCTATCTATACGTGATTCCCGGACGGCACTTCTTGTAGGAAAGGCCGTTTGACTACGCTTAGAGTGATATGACACCTCGTCTAGGGCATGGGAGATCTGATACCAATGAGTGCCATGATATTATGAAAAGCAATTCGGCTTACCGTTCTCCCAATGAAACCATGAGGGGACAGGGTCTGGATGAGAGTAGAGTCAAGACCCTTGAAGTCGACAGTGAGATCGACTTCCGTTTTACTTCCCCCAGATGGAGGGTTGCCTCTGGACCTGCTCAGAAAGCGTTGCACACTGGCTGTGGTTGAGCTTCAATATCTCATGGTAGTAGTAGAATTGCTACGTACTTGGCATGATGATATGCAAAAAACGCGTTGTCACCTAGTCCCTCGACCAACGTTAACACATTATGTGCCTGGTCTACTTGCTCAGATAGGAAGTTCAGAACCGCCGCTTCGCTAGCACGGGCATGTGGTGCGATAGTAGTTCCCACGTGACTATTCGCAGTTGCTGTTGTGAGCTGCTCGACTATCGGGCCTATGAAGCCACCCCCATGTTCACCCCACATGGACTGACGGACGTGGTTAAGAACAATCTACCAGAATTTGAAAGCAGACTCACAGGAGTACTCATCATCATCACCTCAATCACAAAAGCAACGACGGCAAACCATTGAACGGTGGAAATCGTTGCATGAGAGATCGATGTTACAACTGCCAGGATTACCCGGTACATATGCATCATGCACCGCGAAACGCGCTTCAGGAAGCACATAATTTCATCAATATCATCCTGTTCGGCACTCCGGCATTGTATTGGTTGTTGAAGCTGTGGCGCGCGGTGGTGTGCGAGGGGTGTGCGATGCATAAGTGCGGGGAGGTGCCGAGAACGGATAGCCAGAGGTGACTCGGGTGACTCAGGTGAGTCGGGACTCAGGAGGCATTCGGTGACTGGGTATATTGGTATGATTGTTGGCGAGTAGTGATGCTTCAATGAGACTTGTGGTCTCAGCGTGAAAGGGTCCAATGGTGCAAGGGGTGGGCGATCGGTGCGGGTGTTTGTCATACCGTCTTGACAGGTCGTACTATCAAAATAATAAGTAGCAGCTGCTCCAGTCAGCTGTGGAGTCGTAAAACAGGACATTGATCAGATTACCTCTGCCTCATATTTATTGAGAGAAGCTGGTGCTGGAAACAGAGCGAGGCAGACAAAAGGCATCAGTCACGTCGTTCAAAGAAGCCATACTTCCTGCACTGGACTCCGGCCAGGGTCAGTTGTGAGCTGCAGTTATTGTCATGGTCTTTGCTATGGTGATCAAAGAGTAACTTGAAGTTCCCCGAACTCGCCACTGGCCTATCGTGACAATAAATAGCAGTCTAAATATGGCAGGAACGTACTTTGCTTCCGGCTTAGGCCCGCACTTGCTACTAAGTTACGAGTCTTCGATCAGGTAGGCTTGACATCATTCTGTGAGTCTGGACTTGATACAATTGCTACATCAATTGACTCATTTAAATTCACGCATAGTACAGCATCAAGAGTATTAGTTATCTAACACATAACAACGGAACGTTTCATCCCGTGGATGCAATTCGTTTGACTCACATCTGCACGCTTCATCTGAGTTCCACTTGAGCCCCCTTAGGCGTTGTCTAGATTCTGCCATGCGCTTGCTCTGTGAGATCAGGATACTTACCACAATAATTTCAATCTCCACATACATGCGCACTTTTGGTTTTCTGGCAGACTCAGGAGGTCCTGCAGCACGAGTCTGCAACTCTAAATTTGCAGGTAACAGTGTTTCAGGAGGCAGCTTCTTGATGATCACAGTTGGTTCTCCGTCTGCATTACCCACCTCCAGCTCATTTCCTGCGGGTTCTTCCCCAAGCTTGTCTGATGGATCAGATATCACAGAATTGTCCTGCCCAATATCGTGTTCTCCGTTATTTGAGGAGTCATCGTCCACAGGAAGACCTAGCGATGATAATACGGACCGAGACCAAGGAAGAAGGCTCGTGAAAGACATGACTAATACTTCATTAATATTGATGTCCACCTTCTTATCCATGAGCTTTTCTGTGAAGCGAAGCGTTCGTGCAGATGCGACAGGCATGTTCCAGGACATCTCTTCTTGGGCCTCAGTTACAGTCAAAGATGAAGGAGCCCTAGCCAGTCCCAGAGCGTACTTAGACTTGAAATCATGATTGGAGGTGCGAAAGATGTCATATTCTGTCAAGGTGTGAATTGAAAGAACGCATGGACAATGGACATGGAAGGCGCACACCTGTTTTACGTTTTACGCAGTTCAATAAGACGAGCCTGGATATTTTGTTCCCTATCTGCTGCAGTGGACTCCTGCGACCTGAGTAGCTACTTGTTAACTGCGTGGTAAACATCGAAACCTTTGAGGTCATATATTGATGGTACAAACCTGCTGTAATGTTGCACCGAGATCTCTGATATTTCGTCGCGTCTCATCGGTTTTTAATTCAGAGGCGTTGCACCAGGGGATTCTACGCGGGATATCACAACCCTCTTAGTTGGTTCTTGAGAGGGTGCGAGGAGTCAATGTCACGGCCCGAGCCGTATTATTACGTAATAACAGAGGTATTCCCACCGACAAGCTAGAAGTCGTCTCTCGTACACTATTAATGGGCATGGCCTGGTCCTCGAGAGTGCAGAGATGGACAGGAAAGTCCCGAGCTGACTCGAAGCCACGGCGATCAAGGCACTTATTTTTAGGATGAATCTATATGGTCACGGTGAATCCAGACATGTTCTCTGAGAAGCGGCCTAGTTAAACTTTAAAGCAGAGTCCGAGTCATTATTGCCATTCATCACAGTTCTTGATCGTGACCTGTCGCAAGTCCCTGATGAACGCCAACTACCGATGTGACGCCACGATAGACTTCACTTCGGTGAATGTTATAAGATGGAAGCAGCGGGGGGCAGCCTGAAAGTAACCCTCCATATTAATGTTTCATCCAGTCCTGTCAGAATTCGATATCGTTTTTGCTGGAGGTAAGCAAATAAAATCTTGTAGTGATTTACCCTCTTTACGCGTCATTCTGTATAGGTGGTACTACAGCCTGTGTTGTCGCGGGTCGCTTAGCTGCATATGATCCCTCGTTGAGAATCTTGATTCTGGAAGCAGGTCAACACAGCCTCAATAAACCTATTCATGTGCAACCCTTCCGATCTCGCTTCAACCATGTACCCACGAGCACCACAGTCACATTCAACATCGGAAATCCATCTCCTCGTCTCAACGGTCGTGTACCAATCGTTCCCTGCGGTCGTTGCGTCGGTGGAGGCTCATGTGTGAATTGTACGTAGCATACTTGCAACGATGACCAAGACCCTAATAATTAGACAGCTATGATATACACTCGTGCACCAGCTTCGGACTATGATGATTGGGGAGTCAATGGTTGGGAATCTGAGAATTTGATTCCCCTTATGAAGAAGGTCTCGAATTCGTTTTCAAGATGTTTGTTCAAATTGCTTATACCTTTATAGCTGGAGACATATGAGGTGCAGCCCGATCGTCCAACTCACGGTTATGACGGACCTATCAAAGTGTCCTCTGGTGGGTGTAAAGTGGGTATCTCCGACGAGTTCATCCAGGTTGGCACGACCTATCACAAGAGGCAGTATGCCGATGATACCGATGATTTAGAAACATGCAATACATACAGTGTAAGCTATGATCTATCTTCCTTATCTGCGACCACTAACCAGATCTGTCCCAGCCATGTCAGAAGTGCGTCCCTGTACTCGTAGTTCATTGGGAATATTTAGCCCATGCAGAAAAGGTACATTGACGGGACAACGGGAAGGCGTTCAGACACCGCTCACCACTATGTCTACAACCAAGCTCACAACCCGAATTTACACGTCTGGGATGGAAAGCGCGTCAAACGCATCATCTTCGAGTAAGTGGCCACCTGGGATCGCAGCTGCAGCAAACGGTTGACGGCTTTTTCAAATGAAAGAGGCAAGCGTGCTGTAGGTGTTGAGTTCATCAACGACCCAGTGTCCTGCCCAGATGCGGATCAGTCGTCAAGTATTGCGAGAGCATCGAAACTTGTTATTATTTCTGCTGGGGCGTTCGGTTCCCCGACCATTTTGGAGAGGTCTGGGATTGGTGCCGAGGCAATCCTCAAGCGATGCGGTATTGAGCAAGTGGTGAATTTGCCTGGCGTCGGAGAAAATTATCAAGGTGCGCTTTAAATTTATTCTAAGAGCTTGGCTGAGGACAGTCAGATCACAATCTCGTCTTCGTTCCATACTTGGCTGCTGACGAGGCTGTTACCATGGACCCCCTCTGGCGTGGGGAGAGTACTATTCTACAGGGTAAGCATATTCTCACTACGATTGCAGCACTTTACAACTACCCAAATGTAGAAAGTCTTGCGCAATGGAACAGCAGCGGCAAGTCATTGATTGCACAAAAGTCGGTGCAAGTTATCACTGTTGGTATCGTGCTGATTGGAATCCCAGTGGCCTCGATTCAAAAATCAAGTGGCGTCCTGATGACGAGGAATTGAAAGCCATGGATCCAGCTTTTCAACCACGCTGGAAGGAGTTCTTCCAGGACCGCCTAGACAAGGCTGTTGCAATATTTGCTATCTTTTCAGGGTGCGTGGGTATTGAGTATCGATTGGCTTTGATGATACGACAATGCTCATGACAACCAGATATGTTCAACCGCTCTCGAGGCCGCTCTCGAGTACCCTTCCTCCTCGCAATTACATGAGTGCCGCTTATTATACAGTACTGATTTCCGTCTCCCGCGTGATTTCTTTCTGAATCCCTTCAATAGCTCTACCCCGCGTCTGTCGGAAGTGTTCATATCAACGTGACAGAGAACGGCAAAGAAGGAATGGACTTTACAACTGGTTTCCTAGATGAGTGAGTGGGCGCTTTTCATTGTAAGGCACTTTGCGTGACTCCGACACTCCGTACAGTCCATCCGATATTGGTCCTCTTAACTTCGCGTACAAAAAGACACGCGAAATTTTTCGACGCATGGCTTCCTACCGAGGTGAAGTCACGACCGGTCATCCTGATTTCCCAGAGGGAAGCGCTGCAGGTTGCAGAGAAGCCTCCGAACCAGTGGACTTGAATGCGCCTGACATCTTCTACACTACCGAAGATGACGAGGCGATCGATCGATTCCACCGTGACATCGGTAAGTACTGACTTGCTATCTCCACTGTCATGGTAAAATACCGAATCGAACATCAGTACAAACGACATATCACTCGGTGTGTACGGCCGAACTTTTCATAATTCCATATCTGATCTTTGTATCTGTAGCTTGGGACCTGTGCCATGAAACCGGAGGCAGATCAAGGAGTAGTCGATGCTCGGCTAAATGTATACGGCGTGTCGAACCTGAAAGTTGCAGATATGTCTATTTCGCCATTGAACGTTGGCACGGTGGGTACTGAACAAGGGATTGTTGATGTGCGATTCTGATGATATACATAGAACACGTACTCGACGGCACTTCTCATCGGAGAGCGGGCTGCGATGATCATTGCTGAAGACTTGGGCATCAATTGCATTTGATATGTATCATTAGAGGCGTATCGAATCATGAGTTCCTGGACCTGACTAGGGCCAGGTTTGGGGATATCCTGAAGGTCTTCGTCGTCTGAGATTGCGTCTGACGTAGCGTGACGCTGGTCAGCGCGACTCTCGTTGCGGGCTTCACGGGCCTCGTTCTCGCGTAAGATGTTGGCGCGTGATGTAAATATCTTTGCGGTCTCTTGCCATTTTTGCAGTCTCGTTCTACTGAAACCCATATATCCTTGATCTCCTTTCCATGCGACACTCGGAGTGCTGCCTGTCTCTCCAACACCCTCGGAAATCTCAGGTTCTTCCTAACTCTCCTGCTTTTCTACCGGAATCGTTTTAAATACCACGGGAGGTTGAAATAGGATCAACAGGGCCGGCTTTCGGTGGAAGAAGACGGTACACGAAGAACAACAAGTGAGGGAAGAACGTGTCAAAGTAAGTGCCATCAATGGAGCCATGGCACAACGATTTGGGAGAGTAGATGTCTTTGCATCAAACATAGCACAACTTCATAGATTTTTTCGTAGGGTGTCACTCTGAGGCTCAGCGGAAGTAGTGGCTGGGATTGATAGAGTCCCGATTAAAATCCCATTACTTGAATTTCTCAAGCTAAACCGACTAATGAACCTTAGCATGGAATGAGCAAGCAGACATTATCATTTTAGCCAGTCCGCGGGCAGTAACAATCTATCGAGCATGGACAAACGGTCCTCAGGACATCGAGTGCACCATGTAGCTCATACATGTAGGCTGTGCAATGCAGCAAGCACAATTATTCTGATGCAGGACCTAGGCTGGGGCAATCTCATTAGCACCACTGAAATAATTGCATGTGATGCGGCGCAAAAATCCTATGCAAATACATACAAACTGAGCGGGGAGGGCATTGTCAGATAATAAAAAGCAGATATGTCCCGACTGCTACATAAACTGTGCAGCGGCCGAGTACAAATCAGAATCATGTAAGTACTAAAGTATGTCTGAGCGGTACTTTTCTCTTAATCTAAGAAGATGCGTGTGGGCGTGAGTGCAGAGTGGATGAATGTGTTGTGACGAAAGAGCGATGCGATGAAAGAAACCAAGATGCAGCAAAGATGATGCGAGCCGCGGACGGAACAAGGGCTAAGGTGGGAAGATGGGCGAAGGTGCTTAATCCTTCTTCTCCTCCTTGGTCTCCGAACTGCTTTCTGAGGCAGCGTTCTCAGCATTCCGCTTCTCGTACACCTTTTGGAAGAGGCCGAGCGAAGCTTGTTGAGTCTCGTTAATCTTCTCCCGGATCTGCTCAGAGGTAACAGCGCCATCGCCAGCCTGACCCTTGGCAGCAAGCTCGCGGAGCTCAGTAACAAGCTTGGTCACCTTCTCCTTTTCGGTGGCGTCGAGCTGGTCCTTGAACTCATTCATGGCTATAGGCACGCATATTAGCAGGATCCGGGAATCAAGAAATAATTCGTACCTTTCTCGGTGTCAGAGCAGACGGACTCGCCCTTATTGCTTTCCTCAATGAGATCACGACGAGCCTTGTCGGATTCGGCGAACTGCTCGGCATCTGAAACCATGCGTTCGATATCCTTATCACTGAGACCGGAAGATGAGGCGATGGTCATGGACTGGTCCTTGTTGGTAGCCTTGTCCTTGGCAGATACGTTGACAATACCATCAGCATCAATGTCGAAGGTGATCTCGATTTGAGGAACGCCCTTGGGAGCAGGGGGAATGCCAACGAGGTTGAAGTTGCCAAGAAGTTTGTTGTCCCGGACAAGCTCACGCTCGCCCTGGTAGATTTTAACCTCGATGGCGGTCTGGCCATCAGCAGCAGTTGAGAAGACCTGGGACTTCTTTGTTGGGATGGTCGTGTTACGACTAATGAGCTTGGTCATGATACCACCGAGGGTCTCGATACCGAGCGATAGGGGCGTTACATCAAGGAGCAGGATATCTGTAACGTTGCCTGCAAGCACACCACCCTGGATGGAGGCACCAATAGCGACAGCCTCATCAGGGTTGACACCCTTGCTGGGCTCGCGACCGAAGATGCTCTTAACCGTGTCGGAGACCTTGGGCATACGAGTCATACCACCAACGAGAATGACCTCGTCAATTTCACTGGCCTTCACACCAGCATCAGAAAGAGCCTTCTTGCACGGCTCAATGGTACGTTTGATAAGAGGTTCCACAAGATTCTCCAGCTGCACACGTCCAAGCCTCATGTTGATGTGCTTGGGACCAGATGCATCGGCGGTGATATAGGGGAGGTTGATCTCCGTCTGTGATGTTGACGAAAGCTCTATCTTGGCCTTCTCAGCAGTTTCACGGATGCGTTGAATGGCTATGCGGTCCTGGCTTAGGTCGATGCCAGACTCCTTCTTGAACTCTGCCAAGATGTGGTTGAGCAGAATGATATCGAAGTCCTCACCGCCAAGGTGAGTATCGCCGTTGGTTGACTTGACTTCGAAGACACCCTTCTGCATCTCCAAGATTGAGATATCAAAGGTACCACCTCCAAGGTCATAGACAGCAATGACTGACGAATCAGAGCGATCCAAACCATAAGCAAGAGCAGCTGCGGTAGGTTCATTGATCACCCGCAGCACTTCGAGACCTGCGATTTGACCAGCATCCTTTGTTGCTTGTCGTTGTGCATCATTAAAGTAGGCGGGTACCGTAATGACAGCGTGGCTAAGAAGAATGAGCCGAGATTCATGCTACGCATAGATAACTTACTTGACTTTCTTGTTGAAAAATTGCTCGCAGGTCTCACGCATCTTTACAAGAACCATGGACGACAGCTCTTCAGGAGACTAGGAAAGATAACTTGAGGACACAGCAATGGATCCAGGAGAGGAAGAGACATACGTATTGCTGCTTCTTTGAACCAGCCTCAACCTCCACCGCTGGCCGACCGTCGGCTTTTTCTACGACAGTAAAAGGCCTGCCCATGATGAACAACTTTTTACACAGTATGTCCAACACTAGACTCACCAATGCTTTACATCTTCCTGTACCTCCTTGTCTTTGTATCGCCGACCAATCAACCGCTTGAATGCGAAGACAGTGTTGGCAGGGTTGACGACAGCTTGGCGTTTTGCGGGTAAGCCGACCAGACGTTCGCCGTGTTTCGTGAATGCAACAACGGAGGGTGTCGTTCGGGCACCCTCGGAATTTTCAATCACGCGCGCCGTCTTCCCTTCCATGACGGAAACACATGAGTTTGTCGTACCCAAGTCAATACCGACGACAGGTCCTACAGTGCAAATGAGCAACTTGAGCTGAGAGTGGAGATACGAAGCTCACCGGAAACTTTGGTGTTCATATTCCTCGCGATCGAAGACCGTGATAGAGCCTGTTGAAAATGGGTTGTCAGTGCATCGGACAGTAAAATGACTTAACTACGCACGGCATAGTTGCCGGTACGGGCAACACTACGGAAGGCACGAGCTGCAGTGAACATGGAGGAAGAGGTCGAAGAGGTGACTAGCAAATTGGACACGGTGATTCAAAATTTTAGGGAGTCCGCGTAACGCTTACATCAGCTAAAAAGAGTCCGAAAACGTGGAACGTTCGGGATTCGGGCAAGCAAAGTACTACGTACATGCACAAGTAGCTTGACAATCCATACGACTACTTTCAACACGTTCATCATTGTGATTTTGTAAAGGATTTAGTGGGTTGGGAATTTACATAAAAATCATTAAGACAGTTTCTCCCAGTGTGAAAGTTCAGGCACGGCCACATTCCGGCCTTCCAGCGTGACTCGGGCGCACCGTGGAGCGCCGCAACCCCTTGAATTGAACGTTCAACGTTGACAACCTCGAAATCTTCGATATCATGACTGATAGCGCGCCAAAAAGTACTGGAGGCGAGTATGGTGCTATGCGCGCCAATATCGACATCAAGAAGCTCAATACATACCTGGAGGTCCATGTGCCGGTTGTCACTATTCCCGTACAGGTACAACAGTTCAAGGTACGGTCGCAATCTATCGAGGAGAGATTGCAGGTTGACTGGCAGGATAGTTTGGACAGGTACGCTCATAATTCAATATACACAGGCTTACATCATGATGACATCGGACTATTAAGTCCAATCCCACATACTTCCTGACCGACGCAAGGTATAAGCTTGTCCTCTGTCAGGTATTAGGTCCCATTTAAATTATGCCTCCTCAGTGCGACACGATTTGTGTTGCGAAAAAAGCCAGCGGGTCAGTTGTTGTCCTCAACTGCTCACCAAATCGAGCGCGAATACCGCATGTTAAGCGCGCTGCATCGATACAACATCAGTCCAACCACAAAGCCAGAGCAGATAGTCCCTGTCCCGCAACCTTTTGTCCTGTGCGAGGATAGTAGCGTTATTGGCACTCCTTTCTATATCATGGAGTACCTCGAAGGGCGAATATTCACGGACACCAGGCTGCTGGAACTGCCACAGCAGGATCGAAGAGAATGGTACTTTTTGCCATCTCTCTATTGTATTAAGATGCTAAGCCTGATTACCTAAAGCTGGCTCTCAGCTATCCGCTCGTTGGCAGCATTGGCCTCTCTCGACCCATTCCAATTAGGTCTCAAGAACTTTGGTCCTACGACTGATTACTTCCCCCGTCAAATCAAATCTTTTACACGCATATCGGTTGCTCAATCCCAGGCTATAGATATCGAGACAGGAAAAGTAACAGGAAATATTCCGTATTTTGAAGAAATGGTCGGTTGGTACCAGAGACACCTCCCAGACGAGAGTAAAACTGGGCTGCGGATTGTCCATGGGGACTACAAGCTTGACAACATGATATTTCATCCAACAGAAAACCGGATAATTGGCATACTGGACTGGGAGTTATGTACTCTAGGTAGTCCAGTACGTTCACCAATCACCGTCTTCTGCGTTTTGATCTGAATTCACTGCGTAGCTTGCTGACCTCGCGAACCTTACCCAACCATGGGCAATCGACGCTCGTCATATACCCAAGGATTCCCTGCTCACTGAATTTACAATCATCAGGCCGTTCAAGAATGCTACAAAAGATGTCCCTATACCCTTAGAAGACCTTGAGCGCGAGTACTGCAGGCTGACCAACCAATTATATCCCATTAAAGAGATGGTCTTTGTCCGTAGTTGGGTACTCTTCCGGGTACGTACTATACCCAGGTACGGGATAGTATATATTGACCTGGTTGTTTTTAAGCTTGCTATAATATCGCAAGGTATTGCTGCCAGATATGCGCGGCGGCAGGCGAGCTCAGAAAAAGCTTTCCTTCACCCACAATTCTTTCCTTTGGTTGGTCGGTTGGCAAAGTCGATCTTAGAAGACGATGGTTTCACTATTGACATAAAACCAAAACTATAGCATTATTCGTCAAGTCCGTGTTATATAACCTATGTAGTGAAGAACGTTATGTATCTACATATGTGACAGTTTCACTATGTAGCTTACTGCAAACCAGGATGGATGCGATCCAAGTACCCTTTCAATTCGGATACAGCCGGTCGCATTCCATCATTTTTCCAGCAATACGTCAGCATTGACCACATATCTTTTGACACACGAAGGTAAAGATTCCTGTTGGGTATTTTCCCTCTACAGATACAATAGATGAGTTCGCCATCCCGATTCTGATCGGCGTACGGCACATTGCCAGATAAAATCTAGTAACACACTCAGTATCTGCAATTTTGGTGACAATGATTTTCTAACGCACCTCTAGACCCGTCATACCTGCCGACCAGATGTCCGATTGCACGGTGGGTAGCGGTGCTGTTGCTGAAGGGTTCACTGGATTCATCAACTCGGGCGCCATGTAACGGAACGTGCCAACCGCTTTTACATTAGTCGTCGTGAAACCAGAAGCTTCGAGGACACGGGAAAGGCCGAAGTCCGTCAAAACTGCATTCCAAGAGTCGTCAATGAGAACATTTGTCTACAATGAGTATAAGTCATTATTCCCGCAGATGGAAAATGTGTGCTGACAGGTTTGAGGTCTCCATGGATGACTCTTTTGTAGTGCAGATATTCTAATCCAGAAAAAAATTGGCGAAGCTGTCCAGACATCATTGAATCTGAGCGACTATGAATGACATTGATACATACAAGTTTCAATCTGTGGTCGTTGTGGATATGTACCAGACAGTCTTTCAGTGTTCTGTTCTTATAAAACATTGATACTAGACGAGGGATAGGATACCCCCGTATATCTTGATAGTATACACCGATAAATCGAGCCACGTTGGGATGATTCAGCGTGCTCCAAACTTTTGCCTCTCGCAAAATTTTCTGAAGGCAGACTAAGCAAAAAGGATGACCTATAAATAAACGATCTCCATACCCGTATGGTTTTGTCCATAAGATACCTGTCTGACAGAAGTGATGGTCTCAAGATCTTCACAGCTACCTACATTGATGAGTGAATATGAGTGCGTTATACGTCCACCAGTGACCGAGTAGCACGTACGGTATAACTATGACCTCGCACGGTGTAGATTCCCTTCCAAACGTCTGCGAAGTTTCCACTGCCGAATGCGTGATTGTCGGTTGTCACGACCATTCCCGTCAGATTAGGTACATGGATATTTGCGAGATTAAAAGCCATTGGAGGATGGTATGGGTGACTATAAAAATGAGTATCGGTGGATAGATTTCAAGTTGAGATGTATAGCAGGCAGGAAGCAGAATCTAGATGATGAGTGCCATACTGCCTGAGCAGGTCCAACTTAAGTACGTTTCCCGGACAAGGTGAGAGTCCTCGTGCCCTGCCAAGTGGGGAAAATGGACCATAGTGACGAAGTTGTACATGGTAGACAAGAAAAACGAATGCACGTCAAAGCTCGCTTCAAGGATCGCCGCATTGTGTTCATCCTAAGTTAGATATCGAGTTGCCAAGACGCTTACAATGAGGATTCAAGGGATGAGTCAAGATTCAGACGATTTTTGAGGTACTGTGGGGCCAGTTGATGATCAGTTACGGAGACATTGTACATAGTACAATGGTAGTCAGAGTTACTTGCTAGTGAAGCGTTTGATTACATACGAGACAAGTCATGTGAAAACCGTGAGCGCGCTGAGCATTCTTGCTGACCGTCGGGCTGAGCGGGCGCTGCTTGATCGATCTGATCACTGAGAACAACGCGATTCTTGTGAAATTTACGATTAGCTAATATAAATAGTTAATCCGATCGTTATTTTATTATTCTGCAAGGCAGCGCACCAAAGTTCAAATTCAAACGTGACCAGTCTGACGTATGTTTGGGCTGGTCCCGAGCTTACCAAACAGTTCCATCGGATACTTGATGACCACCGCGCCAAACAAGGTCGCCTCGACTTTTACACGTTCCAGCTTACAGTTCTTTGAATTTCTTTCTGGTTAGAAGATTAACTCGTCGGCTCTCAGTTGTACGCGGCGCCCCGTCACCTGGCAAGGGTCGACGGAAGCCTGAGGCATTTAATCGCACCATTTCACCCTGGTGAGCCTTTAGGAAGATGTCAAACTCTCTGACGCGCAAGGCGGGACTGCGACTGGGACCACTAGTACTAGAAACGTTGGTCAAACATTACTTCGATCGTATCAAGAAGGAGAATGCACAACAGTCCAACTTTGCAACACAGTTGCACCAAGATGAACTTCTCTACCATGAAGCATTCAATATTGTAAAGGTACGTTTCGGAGTGAATCATTCGAGTACCCCAAGCTTAGGGTGGGATGCAGAGTTTCCTCGAGGCTTCGACATAGTGCGTGCACAAACCCGATCGCGAATACTCGTGTCTGACAGTGACCCAGTCACACCGTGGAGGAAGTCCAAGCATTTTCAAACAACCGGACACCGTTTCTTCCCTCATCCCATATTGTCCGTTTGCTAGTCCCATTATCCTGCTGCGATGAGGCTGCCACCTACGTCATCCAAGCGCTTGGTGGAGAAGAACTCGCCAAGCGGTTAGTGGGTGGTACAAAGTGGTGGCAAGTGCGTGGAGTCAAAGGGTAAAAATATCTGCACTTGTGAATCAGGCATCATTAACTCAGTTCCCTTTATTAGTATCGATGCAGAGTGGATCACGGATCACAAGGACTACCAAGAGGCGAAGAAACGGAACAAAGCGAAACATAAAGAGAGCTCAAATACGGAAATACCCACCAGCGAAAGCGATACCCAGGCCTCAAGTGGACTGCCAGCCTCCAGCTCAAATGAGGGTAATATTTACAAGGAAGAAATGGATGAAATGCGCTGCATACTGTACGCTCATGGAGGTATGCTGTGTCTTTGCTTAAATCAAAAGCATACGATGACAGTTCTCAGGGGGTTATTATTTTGGGAGCGTTGATCAGGAAAGGTTGATTCATTCTTTTCCCGATTAGCACCTTCATCGGTTAACTCGGGGAGTTATTCAGATACAGTCTCCAGCGGCATGCAAGGAAGATCAACGGCCGTGTTTTTGGTAAGTCATCATCACTACCGCATTGACTGTCACTTAGCAGAAGCTAGCTATCAACTACCGCCTGGCTCCGCAGTATCCTTTTCCCTGTGCCTTACAAGATCTTCTTGCTGCTTGTCAGTACGGTCTTTTCGGAAGTTTTGAGCACAAAGTTCTAAAAGGCCCTCCCTTGTAGACCTTTACTTGATCAAACCTCCTTCTGATGCGCCCCACCGGCCACTACAGCCAGCACATATTGTTGTTGCAGGAGATTCCGCAGGGGGCGGTCTAACCCTCGCACTGTTACAAATTTTGCGCGACACTGGACTCCCATTACCTGCAGGAGGGATCTTGATTTCTCCTTGGTGCGATTTAACTCACTCTTTCCCAAGTATTCACACCAACACCGCCACGGTACGCTATCAGCGGAACTGTGCCGCAGTATACTGACCCCATAATACTCAGGACGTCATTCCTGTATATGGACTTTCGCTTCAGAAGCCTAGTCCCTTGTGGCCTCCGCCGTCAGATGAAATGACCACCACCGTCCATTCTGGGCTGCGCAAGCGGATACGTCAGATGGTCCACCTTGAATCGAAACAAGATAAGCACGACAGTGAAGCTTCCCCAAATGTCAGCGTGCACCAGGACTCGAGGGGCGCGTCATTGATTAACCTAACCGGGGAGGACGAAAGATCGGCCTGCAGTGAAATGCCTGTTGACGTGGGCGCTACTGCTCCGCTACCGTCAGTCTACAAGAAAGAAGATCAGGTCATACGCCTTCTAACCAATTCAGGTGAATTGTTGGTGATAGAAGAGCAGGTGCACATGTACGCCCAGAATAGCTTGCTGGGACATCCACTTGTCAGTCCCGCCCTCTCGTACCTGGGTGGCTTGCCGCCTTTGCTTTTCATTGTGAGTGACAAGGAGGTTTTGAGAGACGAGGCCATCTATTCGTGAGTCGTTAACATTTTAGCCTGTTCAGCATTTAAAATACCTATCAAGGGCTCACAAAGCCGCTCATCCTTCACGTTATCCCCTCAAGGAAGAAGTACGCTCTCTTTACCCACCACTCAAAGGGATAGAAGACCGTTTTAGTCCAACTGCAGTTCATCTACAGGTCTACGATGGTAAGGATATCATTTACGCTGCGGTCTAAAATTAAGTCTTTCGCTCTAGATACTGCTCATGTTTTACCGGTCCTGTTCTCTTTTACTACCCCAGGAAAATTTTGCTACCGCGCAATTGCATCTTTCACAAAGCACGTTACAGGAATGAACGGATTGTCCATATCTTCGTCCAGTCCGATGGTCTCTCCTACTACTAGCGCCTTACCTTCTCACACCGTCATCGGGAGGTTTTCTATGCTTTCCCGTGCGTTATCTACGCCTGAATTCCTAAATCGCGTCCAGGGCAAATCAAATAGCCTGGCGTCGTCTAATGTTCCTGATTCCGCTTGTATTTCGCCGCTCTCATCCAAATCTCTTCTCCCTCCATTGTCTCGACCTAGTGTGCCAAAATCTGCATCTGACAACGCTCTTTTCGAATCCACATTGCGAGATCGATCTTCGGATAATGTAAATTTGGGGGGCGAGGGGATTAAGGGCAGTGCGTCTGGTTTCGCTGATACAGTACAGCGATTTGCAGGAGAGAGTAGGATATATTGCGATGACGAAGTATGTTTTACAAATTGTGTTGTTGAAAACCCTGCTGATGTCCCTAATTCTTTTGCAGAATCTCCCCTCCTGGAAGGAAGGCATGATTCGCGAAAGAGTGTCAACTTCCGGCGTACTTCGACCACTGGAACCAGAGGCAGACTTGGACGCATTTCATACTCCCCCGGAAATTATAGGAGTTCTTTCGGAACTCGCCGTGCGACGCTATATGAAAGGGAAGGCTAAATTCGACAAAAAGTTCGCAAAAGACCGACACGCCATCCAGAAACAACGTCATCGCAACCTGGAGCGTTCGAGAAGAGACGTTCTGAAGAACATTGCACAACTTCAAGACTCGCATGGTTCGCAGACCAAAAATGGCAAGGGGAAGGCACACGATACTGTGAAAGGTATCAAAGAAGGTCTAGAAGCTGCCTCTGCCAGCTGGTTTTGGGCTTGGGCTTTGGACGTGGACGAGCGTCCACCACCAAGTAGTATTGTATCCCGGCGAGATACAGATGAAGCTCGACGGCTCGCGCGGATTGCTGATCAAGCTGTCCTACAAGAGCACAGTCATATAAGCGCCAACAGCTTGTGGGCTGTTATCATCAATTTCTTAACCGTCGTTCCCGAACGTGACCACAAACATGCCAACTCCGCTGTCAGCGATGGTGGTAACAAACCACCATCCCCATTACAGAAACGCAAGCCGTTGTTTGCCTCGTTGCGACCTCGAACACGAGAAGTCAAAGAGTCTGAACCAAGTAGATGATGTACATATAGTGGGTTTGCACTCTTACCTAGACCCCTCGATCGACAATTTGTTTGAATTTTATAGTTCTGTAGCACAGAAATTGATAATCAGTACCTACATGATAATATATTGTTATTCATAACCAGGAATTTCTCTTTTTTCGAGCATGCAATCATACAGTGACGTGTTTATCATGTCGAACCGAACCGAAATGTGGAGCCTGAATAAAAGGTGAGCTTCTCGCATTCAGAGGATCTCCTGCAATTGCAATCTAATTGAGAGCAGTACTAAAAATCCTGACTCGCAGATATTGGCAGTATCAGAACGACTCAAGAGTCTGTATTCAAATTCCATCAAGCTACATCGCGGGAGGATTTCGCACCGGTGCCGAGGTATCCGTACCGTCGACGAGTCTCGATCGTGATGCTCAGAGATGAGTCGGGAGTTAGATCGGACATACGTGAACCTCGCGATAAAGATTGTGCGATCCATCAGCCCCATCTTACTTTCGACTTAATGAAAAGAAACCCGCCTACATCATGATAGCCCTGCAAAGTAGCCCCAAATCGCACTACAGTGATCAGGCTCGGACGGTCCGGGTAACGGAATCCCACTAAGCCTAAGTTGAGCACCTCGCACGAAATCGTCATAACTTGGATTAAGTTTAAGACTGCCAAGCCTGTAATGAACTTCAACGTGACTCATCCCACACAATTGGACGTTCTTGCATATTAACGTCGGATCCCACAGAATAAAACGAGAATGTCATGCTCATATCGTGTTTGATAGGAAGAACGTGTCGTAACAGAAAGCAATCTAGAAAAGAAAGCTCCTGCGGGAATAAGAATTTGAGAGAAAGTGCGTTGGAAGGTCTGGCCCGGGCATCTCAGGCTGCAGTACTAATCGTTGCAATTTCGGACCCACTGTAGGCGAATTCGCATGGATAAAAGGAGCAGGCCGCCGGTCGACCCTGCGCTAGCACGGACGTGCCTGCATCGGCAAAGCCAATAGACCTAGCCTGTTAACATGATCGGATGGATGTAGTCTATCCGACGAACATCTTGAAGCGACGAAAATCGGAATCAGAGCGTGCCGCGGCGTTTATGTCCTTCGGAAATAATATTGTGAGAGTGCTCGGGACAACATACGCCACTCCGCGATACCCACGCATGAAGGAAAATCTATACAGACGAAGTTAAAAAACGAGTCCAGAAAACCAGGAAAAGTTACATGATAGTACTAATCAGGTTTGCAAAATGGAATATGAAAAGAGAACGTCTAGAGAAGCAGCGGTTCGACAATCATGAGATGGTACACACTGATATTATTACTTCAACTTGTGGGAGTGGGTTGGCGGGAATTCGAGCTTGACCCGGAGGCAGTGTCGATGAGAATCATGGGAGAAGGAAACGAGTAGCATAGCCGAGATGCTGATAGGCTTACTGTAGGGCAGGTGCAATGCAAAATACCGTGACTGCCCAGAGGTGACATATGATAAATATGATGATCTGATAATACAAGTGATGGTAAGTGGGCTAAGCCTAGTAGGCGGTCACGATGTCTAATCATCGCTCTAAAGGCTGGAAACGACTGTAGTACTGTTTTGTCTGGGATTCAACCATTTCTTGTGTCGACTCCGGTAAATCTTCGATAAAGCGACCTGTGAGAATACATTGTCACGAGACATAAGCCAACATTAAAAATCACTAGCCTGGCGAGCCAGAAAATAGTGCCAGAGCTGGAATAACAGTGTTGGGAGGAATGACAGTGTTATCCGCGACCTGCGCGCAATCTTTGATGATCGTAAACTTTCCCTGAAAAATATGCTCAGAAGACACCGTAGCCTGAGTTATGAAGACTTACAATAACACAATTCTTTCCAATCACAACATGGTTCCCAATCGTCGCGGCTTCGACGACGGTGTTCGCACCAATGTGAACATAGTCCCCAATCTTCATTGGGTAGTAATTGAAATTTCCGCGATACGTCTTGTATGGTGGCCTGGATTATCGTAAAACCTCCAAGTTAGACGCATATGCTACCTCCAAGTAAGACGTACCTCATAACGCAACCCTCGCCGACGAGGCAGTACCTTCCAAGGGAAATGACGACGGCATGACCAGGACCTGTTCTGCGAAGATCTCCCCGAATGATTGCGCCGCTGGAAATAATAGTCTTTCCTCCGAGAATGATGTTCTGAGGTCCAGCTATGGTGGCTCTTCGAGAGACTTTGTTTCCTGTGTCCTAGATCAGCGTCAACAACTGGCTGACTCCGCTGTGTCCGTCGCTTACAGTTTCGATGAACTCGGCTTTAGAATAATACACTGGCACGTCCATCGAGGCTGACGCAAAACGCCGGCGGAATAAAGATATTACCAGAGAACATACGCAAATACATGATAACCTAACCCTCGTCATTGACATGCTCCAGCTCACTACTTTCAGGTTAGCCAGCTATCGAGCCCATCGGCTTGCTGCATTCAATAGCTCCGTAGTTTGCTACAGATCTGCACGAGCTTTGAACTCTTGGACCACGTCATGTGGTCCGCAGAAGCAGCGGCCACAACTCACTGCCCGGAGTAGACATCTTTCAACATCACCTTCAACAGCAGACGATGCTGCGTTGTCGACAAAAGCACCCTCTTCTGGAGATAGCCAAGCTGAGCCGGTTACTTACCATGGTCCACTTACACAGACATTCCGTCGTCTCAAAATTTTCTCCCTGACATCCTTGGGTCTGTCATGTATCATGACCCCATTCATCTTCATCGTCGAATCATCGCTTCCTCTATCTGCTCGAATCGTTCTAGCCATGACCGCACTTTCCACAAGTTCTATCTCGACCGCCCTCGTTGGGTGGTCCGGCGCATCCTACGTCATCGACCTGCAAAGGGTTTCGCCAGTCGACAATGGCGGTATCGAAGGCATCGAGATGACCACGCTTACGCTCACGCTGAAAAAGCTCGTCACGCGCGTGTACGACGCTGACTTCTTAGTAGACACGAAGCGACCATTTGCAAAGTGGGCGCTCGCGCAAAGTGTCCTACTGCCACCTCCAAAAGAGGACGCACTCATGGCGGTGAAAGGTGGCGCACCGGGCGAGGAAGAAACGATAGCGGAAACCTTCAATGCTGCGGGCGAGATTGTGGGACGGTGGATTGTGAAATGGGAAAATGATGGTGCAGGAACATGTCGTGGAACAGGAAAGGTCGTGCGGTACGCAATCCTTATCAGTTGCACTTGCAGAGTTAACATTACATGTCCAGATACTTTAATGTGCACGAAGAGCTGCTGTGACAGCTGTGCATCTAGGTTATTGCTTCGAGTAAGCAGGATTTTTGTCGTTACTCTAGTGACCACCGTCATTTTTACGGAGTAACCACAAAAATTATGCGCATGCTCAGATCTAGCGTGGAACGTGCTCAGGTAACACTCACTCAGTACGAACTGTGCTTTATACCGTGTAACAGCTGGTGGCTCCATCATTCTCTTGAAGGTCATCGGTGCAGCATTTGGCCACATTTTGCATCTAATTCGAGCTTGGTGATGCCTGTGGTGCTTGACGCCTCCACGATAGCCTCGGATATTTTCACTAAGTGATGATACAAAGCCTTGTTGGTATAATACCAAAGGCAAACAGGAATAAATGGGGGGACAACATTCTTCATGAAGAAGTGGTCTTACATATCAAAAGCACGGACGACACGACTTGCTGAACGGCAGATCGCGAAGCAAAAATTAGGACTTGGCGACGCGACCATATACCACCGTGTGGAGCAGTAAACATAAATCTGGCGACTGCATCATGATACATTACCCTCTAGAGACAAACAGTTGAGTTCGGACGGCCTACAGTCTCAATGAGTAGATGGCTGAAGATGATAGGTCGCCTGTTTCGTTTTCATCTAGGGGACCATCTTACTGCCTATGGCCAGATTAAATGGCATGATCATCCTACGTTCGTATCAATCGACAATTGTGAACATGCAATTACCGCTCGGTCTCGCTCATTAAGCGGACCATCTTACCGCGTAACAGATGGCCCGGTCATATTACAGTTATATCAAATTGCGAACGTGTAATCATGAGCGCTCAGTGGTCTTGCCGCCGAACATTTGGACCCAACATCGCCGACTGCCGATAACGGATCGTGGAATTGTTTGTAGCGGAGGAAAGTATATTTCAATTCCTGGAGGGCCTCACAGGATCGGGGATATTGGCATGCTTCCGCGATGTTGGTTCAGGCACGCATACAATGGCAGTCGGACGAATTAGCGATATCTATCTGCGAATAGGCTAGTCGGACATGTATCAAACTGTGCATCTTGTATTGCCTCTAAATGTTTGTTTTCAGACGCAGTGTAAAGTATTACCGTACCGTGTCAAGCCTCGTTTGGGCCGGGTGAAACACCACTTATACCGCATGACAAGTTCTCCGCAGCCTCTGTACTAATGTCAACCTCTACACTTACCTATTCCGCGTCAAGACCCACTCGCATGCCACGTCCAGCAGATTGCGCCGCGTCAAACCACATTAATGCTGTACCAAACCACCCCCCCTCCCCCCGGGTGTCTATGGCATTATTTATTTATTATTTGCGCGTTCTTCAGCCTGTGCTTTTTGTTGAAAGTTTGTTAATCAAGAATGGCGCTTTTTTGAGAGCTTCCACTTTTCACACTATCTTCATAATGCCCGCTCATAACACCATAAGCAGAATGAAAGATGAACGTTCTTGCAAGCTCTTGAACATCGGATTGTTGAAAACTCCGCCACTGAATTTTCATTGGTCAAATCAATAACATTGCAATGTTACCAAAAGAAGACTTGACCACCATCTACCCTTTCCGCGATGCAATCACCGGAACTCTCCGCGACCCGCGCTGATCGAGGATCAATGATTGTAGTACCCACAAGGTACACAGCGCAGCCGCCGCAGCGCTACACCTTTAAGATACCGCACCAAAGCCATCCAGTGAATTAGACCGGCCGCATCAGTCCTAGCTCTCACGTTCAAGTGAGCTGGAACCTCAGATGAGTTTCAAGGAACAGACAAAGTGCCACTCCGCCACTCCGAAGGTCGTATTTCGAGATAGGCAATTAAGATCATGCACATCATTGAAGCGCCAACTGGTATAACCGATCACGTGCGCTGTTTTCCAGTATGGGGGGTCTTAATGTAATAAGCTTATCTGTGTGGCCGCGTTAAAATAGCTGTGCCCCTTTAACTTAGTCTTAGGCTTGGCTTACGAACTCTTATCATGAATGACTATGACCGATTTGGTCAATGCCCGGCATCTTGCGCCGGTTCTTAATTATGTTTCGCGGCCCACGGGTGACATCATGATAGGCTCTAATATCCTCGAGGCTCGGTTATCCTCGATCTCTTTTTTTTTGTTAAATATATATTAACTGTCAACTGTCACACCTCGGCGTTATTTTTTATCTCCCATGCATAGCCTTGCAAGATCAAGCCACTACCGTCATGATCAACAGTACACGGAATCATGGTTGAAATAACACTTGGCCACTCGGATGACGGTCTTCCGCAATTTAGTATCTGCCTCGCCGGGATATAGGGTGAGGACATCATTTATGTAATCCGCAGCACATCACTAAACTTAAGATTCAAGAGCAAAGATACATAAAACTCAAATACAGGACCCCAATGTTACAGCTTGGTCTTGAACTGGGCAAGTGCCAGGGGTTGATCTTCGAAGCACATATTTAGAAGGAACATAAAGCGATCAAACGGTCAAACGGCATCAACTCACATGTAGTATTATATAGGTTATCTGGAGGTGTGAGACCGACGTGCGAGTGCAGGGCGTTTGCATCAACCATTTCAGGCGACAGTTCATCTATGGTACGAGCGCCAAGAAGCCGCATGTTCATCATCAGCTCATCCTATATTTGGGGGTAACCTTATCAGACATGCATACTGTCATCGCCCGATCAACTCACCCGGATGATTTCAAACGCTTTTTCAACGCCTTCCTGTCCATAGGCACAGAACGAGTACATAAATGCTCGACCAACACCAACGGCAGATGCCCCAAGCGCGATAGCCTTGAGGACGTCGGAGGCTCTCCGAACGCCACCATCAACGAAGACTTCAAATTTAGGGTTGGGCCAAGGGCCACGGGTCTTGAGAGCGGCAACAACCTCCATCAGGTTCTCGACACCGGATCGAGCCGTGTCTAGTTGTCGGCCACCGTGATTAGATAGCACAATTCCAGCAAGACCATAGTCGTAGGCCATGAGTGCGTCTTCAGGTGTAGCAACACCCTTGAGGACGATGGGCACTGAGAGGAAAGCGTGAGATATAACTTAGTCAGCCCAGAAGCACTGACTATTGGTGATGCTCCTGAACCAGGGAATGTCCTTCCATGATAAGGAAGGATCAATGAAGGACTTGATTAATGCATTCAATATCATCCGTCACGTAAGATTTGCTTGCACCTACAGATATGGCGCGGGCAACGCCTTCATCCTTTCTGATTCCGGACTGATTCTCTTGGACTTTTGCAACCCCTGAGTCACCAACGAATTTCATGCGCATATCCTTCTCGCGCCGACCCAGCTGAGGGGCGTCGACGGTAATGAAGAGGCCCTTGACACCACGCTTCTCAGCATGTTGGACATACTTCCTTGTGATCTCTCGGTCACGGTTGACATATAGCTGCAGGAACTGGACCTGGCCGGGGACCGCGGCATCAACGATCTCATCGAATGCGCAAGATGCAAGTGTTGGGATCTTTGCGTCGCTAGTCAACAATAGCCAGCATCAAATTGATAAATTTTTTTCCATTACCATCTGGATTACGCCATGCTTGCCGGCTGCTCTGGTGAGGTTGAGTTCTCCATCTGGATGGCCAAGCTTGCCAAGGGCTGTAGCAGACTGGCAGATCCATGTGAGTCCAATCCCATTTACAACCCATGAGAATGCCAAGTACTTACAATGTATACCGGAAGCGAGGATCTCTGACCGAGAATAGTTGTCGACCAATCGACAACCGAAACGTCACGAAGAATACGGGGACGGAACCATATTCTAGAAAACGTTAGAGAATAAAATCAATTAAGGATAACGCTGGACGAGCCTTTGGTATGCGGCGCGATTTTCCCGGATGGTGATTTCATCATCAGACGCTGAGGAGTAGTAAGCCCATGCTTTAGGAGAGAGGATTGCTTTTGCGATCGCCTTTCAAAGATGTGGTTAAGTCATGGGATCCTGCTGACGCCAAGTACTAACCTCGAAATCATGCAGATTAACGATTTCATCCAGGGAGGGCCGAGTTGCTATCAATTCTTGGCGAATATTCTCTTCTGCAGTGGCTTCCTTGACAATTTTGACTACAGTATTCGGATCAATAACGCCAAGGCTGCGCAGATCACACGACTCGGTCATTAATACATTCCAGAAAGTCCTGATGGGCCACTACTCACTGCTTTTCCTTGGGTAGATGGGTCGTAATGGCATCCGGAGGGTGAATAGGGTCATATGCTTCACTGATATTCCGCAATAGCCGGTGACTTCCTCAATAGGCTAGGCTATGTATAAATGTAGTGATCCTTACGTTGCATCCGCACCAGCATACTTCAGAATGATCTTGCTACCACCAGGATGTTCTGGAAAACCGGCGGCGAGCGATGAGAATGCGAAACATTCCATTTTATGACACCAGTGACGTACCGGGCAGAAAATCTGTAACATCATACACTTTGCCTTGTGAAATATGTTAGTAAGCACTTGGTGCCGAATAAATAGACATTGCGCGATGCACGCACCATGAACGATTATCCAACAGCTTGAAACAGTGGCGTGCTCGGCGACTGTGTGAGTAGAAATTAGAGACATGTCAGCAATGTTCGATTTTAATGGGGTAGTAAGTATCTCCGAGTGTTGCTAGAACTGATCTTATCGAGTTTTTGAATGTTCCAAGCGGAGTGTGCGGGATATCGCGTGCGCAGTTTACGTCGTCGAGTATGCCATTAGGGGTAGACTGTCTTCCGCTATGGAGCGCACTAGCGGATCGGATTGAGTACTGCGGTCGGGGATAGACCGGAAGATGGAAGGGAAAATGGCGCACGCATACGGACTTTGGGTGAAAGTACGATAGGTGGCACCATGCACGTGCTCGCTCACCTTCTGAATAGTCCTTTTGCACATTTCTCGACTATCACGAACCTGTGAGAAATGACCCAAGGCTGGACCGGTCAATTGTGTCTGTGTTCAAATCATGGTCACCATCAGGATATCCATCTAGATGCCTACCCCCTAACTCCGTCCTTGTATCTCAGGCTCGAGGTGTTCGCAGCCTAAGCGCTGAGCGCTGATCGCTGAGCGGGACCCACGGAATGCAGACATAGACTGTGTTGCAGATTCGATCTGGACGGAGCCCGAAGATCAGGCCTCAGGTATTGGGCAAGTGACAACCTTGGCACACGGAAACGAGTAGAACATCCCTGTCAACATTCGTCCGTGACCAAAACCATAATTCTCGAAGGTTTCCGATTTCCGATTTTCCATTTGTGTGTAAAAGTAAACAGTCGTATACAAGTTTGACGTGAGCTATACTGCACGAGCTCTAGACTGGTGGTGGTGCTCTTGGCATGCATAAAACCCCCGATAACAAAATTAATGTGTCCGTCCATCCGGACTTCAAAGTACAATCAGATGCCACGTGGGATTCCGCCCGTGAGAAAACTTAGCCACAAGCCCACGGAAGCATTTAGAACATTGACATAACTATTTTAGGGAATCTTTACTAACCGAGTGATACCTCCGCTCAAATACCGTCCTTTCTAGTATGTGCACCGGTAGTCGGTTTCCAACTTGAAGCTGTTCCACATGCTACTTCGCATGCTCCTTTTGTTGATCAGTGCCGATGTGCTGATTTAGAGCTGTGAGTTCTGCTGCATGCCTCGGGTTAACTTGATTTCAACCCTGAGTTAGCGCCCTCACGGGAATTTCGCTTCGCACTTCGATTGGCTGCCGGCAATGTGTCTCTCGGAGTACTATATGCTGCCAAGACCCTCACACTCTTCCCGTTTTCTCCTGGCTCCGCATCAATCTGATAGGTGTCCCGTGCTTTCCCCTTTCATCATCTTCTCTCCCCCGCTTGTCTCCGCAACACCTTTATTTGTTTCCATGTCCAAATCCAATCGAATCTCAACTGAACGAAAGAGAATGTGGCTGAAACAGTCTGTATGAGCTGTACCCTTGACGCCGTATACGTTACCCTTTTTCTGCCGGTTTACGGTTTTTTGCTGCCGCGGAATATTCGATATGTAAATCACCCGAAGGTTATAAGGCCGTACATATTGCTTACCATCGATATCATCCCCCTTCCTTTCCTTGCCCTGGCTGCCCGTCCACATTGAACTTCAACCCTCAAGCTTTTCAAGCTGTTGCTCACTCGCACTCTTCGTTTCTACACATCCAAATTTTTCTTCTCAATGGCACCTGGTCTTGGTTTTTTCAAGAGCTCCGGTTCTAGCGAAGCACCAGTCGTCCAAGTCAGTCCTGATGCAGAGTCAGAAGATAAGGGCAGCTCCCAGTCTACGACCTCCCAGACGACGCGTAAAGCTGATGTTTACTACAACCCCCGTCTCGACCCGGAGAACTTCCTGGAAGGAGAACTCTCTCCTGACGCTGCTACTCGTCTTCGTCAATTGCTTGCTAGGCCAGGTATTGTTGTAAGTGAAATGTCTCCTCCGTGCATAAGGTGTTCTTAGTTGTCCTACCAGATTGCCCCTGGTATTTGTGATGGCATTAGTGCCCGTTGCGCACTCGAAGCTGGTTTCGACTGTTTATACCAAAGTGGTGCAGCAACCACCGCTTCGCGTCTTGGCATGCCCGACCTTGCCATTGCTACATTGAACGACTTCGTTCAAAGCGCACAGATGGTTTGCAGCTTAAGTCCAACCACTCCTGTTATTGCTGATGCTGATACTGGGTAAGTACATCTCACATGTACAGACATTTCGGCTAACACATTTGCACAATTCAGCTTCGGTGGTACTGCTATGGTTGCTCGTACAGTCTATCAATACATCCGTGCCGGTGTTGCTGGCATGCACATCGAGGACCAAGTGCAAACTAAGCGTTGCGGTCACTTGATTGGCAAGCAAGTTGTTTCCCGAGAGGAATTCGTCACCCGTATTCGTGCAGCCGTCATTGCTCGCGACTCTTTCCCTGGTAATTCGAACTTCGTAAGTGGTGCTTCGCGATTCTTAATATACGATCTCATGTATCTTAATAGGTCATTATTGGACGTACCGACTCCGCTCAAGTGCTTGGCATGGAAGAAGCCGTATATCGATTGCAGTTGGCGGCTGATGCCGGTGCCGATGTCTGCTTCATCGAAGGCGTCAAGACTGCTGATCTTCTAGCCTCCACGGTCGAAGCCTTGAAGCCTAAACCCGTTCTTGTTAATGTTATTTCCGGCGGCCTAACGCCTTCCTTCACTACTAAAGAGGCTGAGGCTCTCGGTGCCAAGGTCATCAGTAAGTTGAGCACACTACCTACATGAGAAGGGATGTCTGAACCTACTTCCAGTTTTCTCACTCGTATCTTGCGTCGCTGCCGTACATGGCATTCGTGCTGCCATGAAATCCCTGAAGAAGACTGGCACTGACCATTCGTCGGCCAAGGGCATGGATCCCAAGGCCTTCTTTGAGGTCATGGGTCTCCAAGACGTTGTCGACCTAGATGCGAAGGCGGGAGGTAGTTCTTTCAACGTCATATAGTGCCAAATTGGCTTTGAGTCTTGACATCTTTCTCGTTACTGTTCCATTCTAATTCATCTTCCGAATGTTTCAATTGTATACGGGACGGGCATCGGCATTACTATCATTACGCTGTCATCATTAGATTTTTCTTTACCTCTCTACAAGCTAGCACACATGCATGCAATACACTTGGTGATAATGTGTAAATTTAGCCAAGTTATCCATATACGATCACAGGTTCCCGGAATGAGTTGCCGACTCCAGAAATACTCCATCCGGCATCCAGTCGGCTACGGCGCTCCGTTGGTTCTTATGACCTTGGAGTCTGGCCACGGTACACTTGTAAGTGAACTTTTTCAGACAGTCGTGTTCAAGCTCTCTTACAACGCGACCACTACCATGGCAGGCTCAAGCAAGACGTACTCTGGCAAGGAAGTCGCTGTGCACAACAGCCGCGAGAGCTGTTGGATCATTGTACATGGTGGGTTCATATTTCAAATATAATTTCGGCCTTCTACTCGTCTAGCTGACTTGGGCCTTTTTCTGTAGGCAAGGTTTATGATGTCACAGACTTCCTGGATGGTGAGCCCATTGCAATATGATGAGCTCTAGACTGACTGTACCTTCATAGACCACCCTGGTGAAATACAACTTCTCTTGTATAGAAATGTACATCGACTGATTAATGACCACAGGTGGAAGCAGGATAATCCTGAAGTATGCTGGAAAAGACGCGACGTACGTCATTCTCTATGCCCGCTTTTTCTTTCTTTCTTGTGACATCTTGGCAGTGCAGAGTATGACCCAATCCATCCACCAGATGCCATTACGACCAACCTCAAGCCTGAGAAACAGTCGGTGTTTTTCATTGACATGATTATGCCCAAAACTTACTCGCGTCAGTTTGGGGAGTGTCGATCTCACGACTGTGGAGAAGGTCGAGGTGAAAATTACGGATGAAGAACGTGCACGTCAAGAACGCATTGCTGCTCGCCCACCCCTTTCTGAGATTTTGAACCTGCATGACTTTGAGGTTTGTCTTCACCGTGTGAACAAAGCATATACTCATGTATTTCACAGGCCATCGCGAAATATACTATGGCGGAGAAAGCATGGGCGTATTACTCTTCTGCAGCTGATGATGAAATTACGAACAGGGAGAATCATGCTGCCTTTCATAGGTATATCTAATCATAAACTAACGTATGGAATCTGATCGAAGTTCCATGCTCCAGGATATGGTTCCGTCCAAGAATTCTCAAAGATGTAACAAAAGTTGATTGGTCGACAACGATACTAGGGCAGAAGTCAAGCATGCCAGTGTACATCGTACATCTTTTATTTCCGATCAAGTGTTTAATATTCTAAACAGTTTATTCTACAGACTGCGACAGCTTTGGGAAAGTTGGGTCATCCCGACGGCGAGTTGAATTTGACACGGGCGGCGGCGAAGCATGACATTATTCAAATGGTCTGCATTTCTGATGCATTCATATTGTTAAAGTGCCGTTACCATGTTCGCTACAGATCCCAACCCTTGCGTCATGCTCTTTCGATGAGATCATGGATGCTGCGGCCCCTGGCCAAGTTCAATTTTTCCAACTTTATGTCAATAAAGACCGCGAAATTACGAAACGCATAGTACAGCATGCCGAGAAACGTGGTATCAAAGGCCTGTTCATTACCGTTGATGCCCCCCAACTCGGCCGCAGAGAGAAAGATATGCGACAGAAGTTTGAAGCTGAAGACCCCTCGGAAGTTAGCAAGGCGGACCAAGGGGGGGTTGATCGCTCCCAGGGAGCCGCGCGAGCTATCAGCGTGAGTGACATTTAGTGTTTCATGGTGGTATATGGCTCATATTGGCTGACAGTCTTTCATTGACCCTGGATTGAATTGGTCTGATATGGCATGGTTTAGAAGTATCACTAACAGTAAGGAGCAGAAGCACTCGTCTAAAAATTGCTAGGTCTGATAATTTTGAAGTGCCCCTGATCCTGAAAGGCGTCCAATGTTGGGAGGTACTTTAAGTCATCCTTTCCTGGTATCGAGCCTTACATACATTTTGATACTAGGATGCACTCGAAGCATACGATATCGGACTTAGTGGCGTCGTCCTATCGAATCACGGCGGACGTCAGCTCGATTTCGCACGGTCGGGTCTTGAAGTGCTCGTTGAAGTTACCACCAAACTCAAAGAGAAACGTGGACTCTCGTTTCCCAATGAGAAGTTCCAGCTATTCATTGATGGCGGTGTCCGCCGTGCGACTGACGTATTGAAAGCCGTTGCATTGGGTGCTACAGCTGGTAAATCAAGAAATCATCCATGAAGTCATTCTTTATTGATCCTGTACAGTTGGTATCGGCCGCCCATTCTTGTATGCGTACTCAGCTTATGGGCCTGAAGGTATTGACCAAGCCCTTCAAATTTTACATGTGTGTTTCTTCTCCCCAAAATTCTACATCTTCTGACCACGCTGATAGGACGAGTTTGAAATGAACATGCGCTTGCTGGGGGCATGTAGCATGAAGGAAGTTATACCAGAGATGGTTGACGCCTCGAACATCCACTTGCACATAGTCTCTGTGCCTAGTGATAACCTTTATGAGAGCAACTGTAAGTCTCGTATCTTTTCTTTCGTATTCTGATACAATGTCCTTGCAGACGAGCGACTTCAAGGTGTCCGTCTCAGAGAGATCAAGAATAAGTTGTAGACATTTGTGCCAGACTAGAGCCGGACTCTTGAACCTCCGTCATGCCGCTGTAGATTATTTACATGATTTATCGATTTGAAATAGACTTCGATTGACGTTTGCAGTGCCGTACAAATAGTAAAAATCATGAACTCTCGCTCTTCCTTCTCTTGTCCTTCTCTTTGTCTTATGAGAACAGTTAGACGCATTTTATACTCCGCTTGTACTAGTAAGATATAGACTGCTAGCGAGTAGAACACGATCACATCTACTACTGGAGCATTTGACACTAGTAGGAATGTACATCACAATACTGCGCAGTGCCAGATCCGCTAATGGATGGATCAAAAAGGATTCTGATAACAAAATATGGGGTTAAGCTTGTTTGACCGGACGTAAGCCCCATTCAATCCATGGGGATATTGTCGCAGCTGATGAGGCCTTCATAGCCCATGTGATTGCATAATGTTCCAGAACGAGATTGAGTTCTTCGACCTCATCAAGCATTTCAAGGCTAGATGTTCTGTATCAAATACAGATAAACGAGATTTACTGAATCGTATTAAGTTATGACGTAAGAAGAAGACTTACCTTTCTAATTCTGATGGCTCTATGTAATTACTTCTGATGTTACGAAGCGTCAGCGCCTTCGCAGAAGTGAATCCATGCCTTAAGAAACGGGCGGGGAGAGACTCTAATGAAGGATATGGCTTCGCCCCAGGAAGGGACACATTTCTCGCCTTTGTGATACATTGCACTAAGATCAGACAGTCAACGTCAAAGTGGATGACTTACTCGAAGATTATTCATCATGACCCGCCCAAAGGCATCCTCCAGCCCGAACATTTCATACACCGTACATCCCAGAGTGCCTGGCAATGGAGTGTGGGTGCTTGGGCTGAAGAAGTCGACAAACCATTGGATCAAGGTGGATGAGGCCTCCGGAGACATGTAAACCAGCACGCATTCAAACAACAGAAGTGTTGGAAGAGCAGGTGACAGATACTCTTTGAAGAGCCCTGGAAAAATATCTGCGGGTGGGTTGCGAAGATCGCATGGCAAAAGGTGATATCTGGACGAGTGCAAAGCCTGCCCGCCAAGATCTGTGACAGGAATCATTGCAGAAGTGATTATTTGCAAATCGCTGGGCAACCTCACTGACCTAACTCCGAATGACCAAGAGTAGTGCTAAGCCCACTTCTCGGATTGCGAATGGCCATTGCTTTCTTCAGGGTCACGTCCGGAAAGTCGAGTTCGAAATACGCTCCAATCTGTTCTTTCCAGGGTCCATCCTACTGGTCGTTCACTGTCAGCCCGTCGTTGAAGGCAGGAAGCCATTAATCACCATCAAACGCCAAAACCGTGTATCACTCCCTGCTCCGAGACTGACAATCTGACAAAGTTGCCCCTCGGGCTTGGAGAGTTCAAGCCATTGTTCCACAAGTCTGTCGATGGCTTCAGATCGCACATAGGTGCCAGTATTGATCAATGGTGGCCGCAGGGGCTGTAGCTGCGCCCGAGGTACCAGGGAACTGATGAAGCGGTCGTTCAGATAGCCTTTCCTAACTGCGGATAGTCGTGCCAACGCTGCATCCGAATCCGTCTGACGAATAGCAGCATCAACATCATGAACTCTTTCGCTTCGATTTGCGGGTACGGGCGGGTGCATTGATCATAGATCGATCATGTACATGAATGGTCGCATTGAATATTTGCGTTCAGTTGTTTGTTCAACTTTGTATCTATTGAAGACGCAGGTCTCATTCTTCTTAGATCCATTATCTGAATTACACATTCCTGCCCAGTGCCCACTTATCGCTGAGTTCCTGTATGCATGGCAGGATCAATTGATTCTAGCGTGTTTGTCACGGGTCGCGGAGATAAGTTTCCAATGATTGTGTCACGGAAATGGTGGTGTCGTCTTTCTAGTGACTTTGTGATACTTGAACTAGGATGGCTGAAACTTTGAAATTTCAGTGACTAAACAAACCGATGTTTAACTCATAATCTGATCTTGCTCAAGCAGTACTAGTGCAAGCTTCCTTATCATCGGGCAACCAATACTGTATGTCTTCCATTTGTACCCCTTTGAGCTGATAATCTTCATTCTTATATCTCAAGTTGTGACACAGTCAATATTGAGCACAAACCTTGCTCCTGTACGTGTCAGTATCATACACAGCGCCAGCACATACACATGCCTCGCCCCATAAAGAAAAAGATGCACATGACGAAACACGTCCAACATAGGGTCAATGACCCCAACGGACTAAATCTGATGCAAAAAAAAAAAAAAAAAAACTTGCTCCTGATCGGAGTGTAGCTCCGGGATCATTGTCAATATCGCACAGACTCACTACATGAATTCCTTGTCCTCACTATAGGTTTATCGGGCGAACTATGCCGTGTACGAGGCCTTTTGACAGACATGAACTTTGTCTCCACAAGGTAAGCGGCTGACAAGGCCGATCTTGCCGATTTATTTCAACGGTATAGGCCCAAA